CAGACATAGGGCTTCTCCCTTGAGTGTGTCCTCTGGTGTCTAATGAGGTGTGACTTCTGACTAAATCCTCTCCCACACTCCTTGCAGACATAAGGCTTCTCCCCTGAGTGTGTCCTCTGGTGTACAATGAGGTGTGACTTCTCACTAAATCCTCGCCCACACTCCCTGCAAACATAGGGCTTCTCCCCTGAGTGTGTCCTCTCGTGTATAATGAGGTATGACTTCTCACTAAATCCTCGCCCACACTCCCTGCAGACATAGGGCTTCTCCCCTGAGTGTGTCCTCTGGTGTCTGATGAGGACTGACTTCTGGCTAAATCCTTTCCCGCACTCCTTGCAGACATAGGGCTTCTCCCCTGAGTGTGTCCTCTGGTGTACAGTGAGGACTGACTTCTGACTAAAGCCTCGCCCACAATCCCTACAGACATAGGGCTTCTCCCCTGAGTGTGTCCTCTGGTGTATAATGAGGTGTGACTTCCGACAAAAGCCTCGCCCACACTCCCTGCAGACACAGGGCTTCTCACCTGAGTGTGTCCTCTGGTGTACAGTGAGGACTGACTTCTGACTAAAGCCTCGTCCACACTCCCTACAGACATAGGGCTTCTCCCCTGAGTGTGTCCTCTGGTGTATAGTGAGGAGTGACTTCCGACAAAAGCCTCGCCCACACTCCCTGCAGACACAGGGCTTCTCGCCTGAGTGTGTCCTCTGATGTCTACTGAGGACTGACTTCTGGGTAAAGCCTCGTCCACACTCCCTGCAGACAAAGGGCTTCTCTCCTGAGTGTGTCCTTTGGTGTATAATGAGGTCTGATTTCTGACAAAACCCTCGTCCACACTCCTTGCAGACATAGGGCTTCTCCCCTGTGTGTGTCCTCTGGTGTCTAATGAGTTTGGACTTCTCGGTAAAGCCTCGTCCACATTCCCTACAGACATAGGGCTTCTCCCCTGAGTGTGTCCTCTGGTGTATAATGAGGTATGACTTCTGACTAAAGCCTCGCCCACACTCCCTACAGATAAAGGGCTTCTCCCCTGAGTGTGTCCTCTGGTGTCTAATGAGTTTTGACTTCTGGGTAAAGCCTCGTCCACACTCCCTGCAGACATAAGGCTTCTCCCCTGAGTGTGTCTTCTGATGTATAATGAGGAGTGACTTCCGACTAAAGCTTCGCTCACACTCCCTGCAGACATAGGGCTTCTCCCCTGAGTGTATCCTCTGGTGTACAGTGAGGACTGACTTATGGCTAAAGCCGCGTCCACACTCTTTGCAGTCATAGGGTTTCTCCCCTGAGTGTGTCCTCTGGTGTATAATGAGGATTGATTTCTTTCTAAAGCCTCGTCCACACTCCCTACAGACATAGGGCTTCTCCCCTGAGTGTGTCCTCTGGTGTATAATGAGGATCGATTTCTGGCTAAAGCCTTGCCCACACTCTCTACATGTAACTTTTGCAATTCTTGGGATTCCTTTCCCCGGGAATAATTTGCCTGTGTCCTCAGCATACATTCTCTGGCCTGGGCATGCGTCTGTCTGCGTCATTCTGTTAGCCTCCCTAGAACTCCCCATTTGGTCTTTGGGTAGACTAGAGAAGGTCTTTAAAATGTCCCCTTGTCTTATCCTTTCAAATATGGCTTTGGACCCATCTCCCATCTCTAGACCTTCTGCTCTGTCATTCCTGGCGAGTTGCTTAGAATGCGGCTCCTTCCCATC